ATATAAGCCGGAGATAGATATAGAGACAAATAATCGAGTGAAGCGAGCAGTAGGCATCGTAAGTAAAGTGTGTGAATAGCTGTGAATTATAGCGTGTGTTTATAAAAGTAGTTAAGTTTAAAGTGACTGTGAAAATTGAGTGTATTACAAAGTTTGTAACGAGAAAGAATAAAATAGTTTTAATTAAGAAAGGACTTGTATCGATGAAGTTTCTCGGAAAGAATTTTTACGGGAAATTATCAAACAAGTAGATTCGTAACAGTACATTTCTACTCAAACTTGTAGGCTCTATTAATCATTTCCATGATTAATGGGTACTTCTACCAAAGGCAATATTGTTTCCTAAGTAACTTTACTTACACTTCTTTTTTTTTTAAAGTTTCTAAAGTATTGATGTATATTTACATAATTAATCAAAATGTATACAGTGGTGCTTAAAATAATTGATTGTTAGACATTACATATCTACATTGCATTATCTTTTCAAACCCTAAAAAATTACTCAGTATGTAATTTAAAAAACATCAAATTTTAAATTAAACATAATTAAAGTTTACTAATGACGAAGTAAACGAACAAAAAAGCTCAAATATATTACTTTAAAATATTTTCAGAGATTAGTTACTTAATCATGAATTTTACACATATTTCCTAAATTAATCAATCTATTCCTTACATATAAAAACAATAATTATGTTTTATTTTACACGAAACTTACATCTTTAAGTGTTCCTGAGGTCTTCAAGAGATAATAGATTATGTAACATGGTATCCAGGAAATTGATACTAAAGATATTCCCCAGCCTATCATTTCTCCCCACCAGGGATACTTGTAAGAGTTAGCGTAGGTCACTCCTTCGTATTTCCAAATAGAAAAAAGGAAAATTCCCTGATGGTATTAAACAAGATAAAAGTTAATGGATAAAAATATTTCATGGTTCACTGACGACATATTTAAAAAAACTATACTATATAAAAGAAGTTTGTGATTTATTTGAAATGTTAAATAAGGCAACAATTATATACGTAAAATTATGTCTCTTGGAAATATACAAAAAGATAGCGAACACATACTTATAGATTGTCTGCTAGAAACATTCAAGACAGAAAGTGTATGCATTAAGATTACGTTCACTGGAGACATAACGAGGATAAAATAAATTAAATATTTAACCAGAAAGAACAGGGCTTCGCTTCAATTCAAAGCCGTTTTCCTTAGTAGTGAATATTTACTAGGGTTGGACTCCTATGTAAGATAGTTAGTAGACTACATAGGATAGAGTACCCAATGCAGGGCGAGTTCTGCGCGTACACGAGAGGTCTGGAAGAGCGAGGAAATGCCCTATTGAGGTGTCAGGTCAAATCCTGGAAAATTTCTTTCGATATTATTAGGAAGTCCTTTGAAGAATCACATACTTTTAGTTTGATGGGAAAATGTTGCTTGATGTAAATTTAAGTAATAAAATATTGAATAAAGACTGGAATTAAATTTCAGACAAGTAATTATAATTTATAATAGAACACATTGAACTAGAAAACGTTGCCA